GGGGGGGGGGAAGGGGCAAAAAGAAAATAAACCAGGCAGACAGGGTACAGCCAGAGCCTTCTGTGCCTTGGCTCACTCGGAGCAGGACGGGGGCCCCTGCTAAGCTGAGCAGTGGCCCAGGTTTGTAGGTGAGAGCCAGGGCAGCAGCAGGGGCAGATGCCCAGGAGTGCAGCTGGGGGCACGCAGGGACGATGGGCGGAGGCGTCAGCCAAGCTGTGAGGAAGACCATGTGGCGAGGCAGCACGGCACAAGGGTCGGCCTGTGCATGTGTGCACCTAACTGTGCCCATGCCTTTCGCTGGCCTCTTAACAGGCTGGGTGGATTTCTTATTTCCCCTTAATCCATTGAGCCAGTGTAGCATGGGTCTGTCTTTGTGACAGGGTAGGGACAATTCACAGCATACATGGCCTCTTCATCAGGCGTGGGAGGCCATGTAGAACCAACTAGAGCATCCTGCTGAGGGCTGGGTGCTCTCAGGGGGGTGGCTGAGGAGGGGAAATGGCACCCCTCCATTTATGCCTGAGACACATGGGAAAACAGAAGCACCTCAGGGGAAAATAAGGCAGAAGGATCCCTCCACAGTAGCTCCCTGCTCTGGGCCCCTGTTGCAGGAGGACCCAGGCATCCCACTGCTGCTGGACTCTGCCTCCACCGGTGGCTGCGGCATGGGACCAGGGCCAGGCTCCCATGCTCCCAGCTTTGACCCCACTTCCCCGGGTGTGGATGCAGACAGAGAGGGCTTACCCACCTATGGCACTGCTGGCAATGTGCTTGCAGGCATAGATCACTAGGGTGAGTAAATAGCACCGTGCCATAAATCAGAAAGCATGAAATCCAACACGTCGCTTCAGCTGCTGCTCTGGGGCTTAGCTCATTCCTTCTGCTTCCATTCTATTCCAGAAAGGCTGTTTTACTTTGGCTTTTAAATAAGGACGCCTTTTCCCCCAAAATAAATCTTTCCTGACAATTTTGACCTTTTACAGCACAAAATGCAAAAAACTAGGATGAATGTACCTTCCAAACCAATACATGTTACAAAATTAAATTGTCATAAGAACAGCAAGGTAGAAATAATTGCAGCCATGAACACAGACGAAAGGACTCTCCTTGCTGCATTTGTTGTAGTTGAAATGGAGATCTGGAAGCCTCTTGTTTCACCTCATGTAG